AAAGGCACAGAGAGAGGCTGAATTGATTACAAAAATAATCTGAAATTAGCAAAAGGATTAATTTAACTAATTTAATTAATTTAAATAAGTGTAAATTAACAAAAATGTAGCTGGAAATGCTAAAAAAAAATGAAATTAGCAGAAAGAGGCTGAAAAAGGCATACATTTGGAATTATTCAAAAGACTCAAAAGGTGGAATATGGCTGAGAATAGCTGAAAAAAGGCTAAAATTAACAGAAAGAAGCTGAAATTCACACAAATAAGTTGAAACGGCTGAAATGAGCAGAAAAAGGTTTTAATGGAGAGCTCCATTCATTTTCAGTGAGAAAAACATGGCTGACAAAGCTAAATATTTCAAAAAATAAAAAGAGCACCAACACCACAAGTCACAGCAGGAATGTCCTGAATGAGCCGAACGTTTTGATTTATGACTTGTTGAAATAGAACAAAAACTGGATTATGTGCTGGAAGAAAAACAGATCTTAGTTGGAGCAATAAAAACTGCTCTTAGATCAGATGTTACAACGAGTTCCACCTTCAGAAACTAATGTAACTAGAGAAACTGCACTTCCTGACAAAATGCAGCGTGGATGCTGATTGCAGAAGAACTTGCTGAAAAACAGTTGCAATGAGCTAAAAACATGTTGAAATGGAAGAGCAAGCCAAATTAGCAGAAGAAAGCAGAAAGAACACATATTTGCTGAATTAGGTTTAAATAAGCAGAAATGAGCACACAAATTAGGAAATTAGCTTAAAAAAAAGCTGAAATTAGCCAAATATGAAAAGTAGCTGTAAAGGCAGAAAGAAGCCTAAATTACCAGAAGGAAGTGGAGAGAGTAGAAATGAGCTAAAAATGTGCAATTAGTTCAAAAACTAATTTTACCAGAAAAACAGCTAAATAGTAGTTGAAATAACTGAAATTAGCAGAAAAGAGCTGAAAAGAGCATAACAAGCTGCAATTAACAGAAACAATTTAATTATTCTGAAAGTAGAAGAAATTAGCACAAAAAACTTGAATTTATCTGAAAACAGCTGAAATTAACAAACAAATGCTAAAAAGGTAGCTGAACAAGCTTAAATTAGCAGAAGAAAGCAGAAAGAAGTCATGTTTTCCTAATTAGGCTGGAAGAAGCAGAAATGAGCACACACAAAAAACAGCTTAAAAGTAGCTAAAAAAGCAGAAAGAATCTTAAAATTACCAGAAGGAAGTCGAGACAACATTTTTGATGAATTAAAGTGTAAAGTGGACTGTACCTATACAGCTCCTTTCTATCTAATCAAGACACTCAAAGCTCTTTACAACAATCTCATTTACCTGTTCATACAGCTCTATACTAGATCTATAATCAGAGCTTTATCACATTCATACACTGACACATCGGAGGCAATGTGGGGTTCATTGTCTGGCCCAAGGACACTTCGGCATGTGCTGCTGGTGGAATCGAACCCCCAACTCTAGCATTGGAGGACAACTGCTCTAACCACTCAGCCACAGCCGCCCGACAATTAGACTGAAAAAAGTTGAAATGAGTGCAAAATGTGTGGAATTAGCTGAAAAGGCTATACTTAGCATGAAACAGCTAAATAGTAGCTGAAATATAAGCTGAAAGGAGCATAACAAGCTGAAATTAGCAGAAAGAAGTTAGAAAAAGCACAAAAATGTTGTAGAAAGAATCTGAAAGGAGCGGAAAACAGCTGAAATTTGCTAAAAGTTGCTGCAAAAAGTTACAGTTTGCAGAAGGAAGCTGAAAGAAGCTGAAGCAGAACAAAATATGAAAGGAGCAGTAAAAGGTTGTAAACACGTCTAAAGATGTAAAATGAGCTCAATTAATTTTCTGTGAGAACAAAATGTCAGAAAAGACTAAATATTTCAAAAAACCAAAGTTGCACCAAAACTAAAAGTCACAGCAGGATTGTCCTGAAAGAGCCGAACGTTTTGATTCATGATTTGTTGAAACAGATGAAAACTGTGGGACGAGAAAGATGCAGAAAAACGTACGGAAGAAAAAAACAACCATGAGAATGCTTCATAAACATTCCGACGAGTGAAAAGTCACCAAGAAAAACATCCCATCGTGCAGGATCTGTCGCTTTGAGCAGAGGCACAATCTGATTCAGTTCCTGAAGGATGAACTCTGAGTCCACGAGGCACCATAGCTGAAGAATGGTCCAATAAATTATGAATGTTTAGGACAGATGAAGGCGACACATGGACCAAATCAGAATTACCCCTGCCCGTTTTAACCAAATATTTCAGCTCATGCTGTTATAAAATGTATATTAGTTTACTAAACAATACAAAAAGTGGCCTCTAAATTTAAAGAAGCGTAGCACGTCGTCTCCTCCGCCTGACACCCTGGCTGAAAAAAAATCATAAATCACAAATGAAGATGGCTAAATTATGCTAAAGAGCGCTAACTGATTAGCATTAATGCGCTCACTTTCCTCCCGGAGCGCCGAGGCGGAGCCGTTTGTTCTGCCGCCGACAGACAATCCCATTAACCTTTGCAATTCAGCCTCCGCCGTGGGCCTGCAGGTTAGCAGAGGCACTGACCCCGAAACGACATGTTACCACCGAGGGAGGTGGAGAAGGCTTCTTCATAAAGAAAACAAACCACCACACATCTCTGCAGAGTTATAGATCCAATCTGCTTCATGCAGGAGCTCATCTGCTTCGACACACAGACGGCTGCAGGAAACCTGACGGCGAGCAATCATCCACCTGGAATAAAAATGACTCCACGATGAACCTGTAGCACGAGCAGCTGTCTCCACCTCTAGACTCGAGAAGGAGCGTGTCATTATTAAACCAACCCATGAGTTCAAACTGAGTCCTCTTCAGCTGTTTGACGCGTTGTTTTTACCAAACCTTCTTCATGTGGAGACCAACAATCTGCTTTTGACTGGAGGTGACAGCTCTGAAGGTTCAACTGCTGCTGAGGGTTCGGTCCAGCTGACCCCAGATCTGTGTGTGCACGGCTCGCTAACACTCATTTATTTTATACACACCTCCACCGTTTGGAGCTGCTGGAGTCCACTTTATAAATGAAGACGGGCAGATCTGGACCAGTTTAATTATAATTTATGACCAGTGTGGACACTGACTCTGATGTCTCTTGTCAGAGGAGACTGAGACAAGATGAGACAAGATGAGATGAGATGAGATGAGACAAGATGAGATGAGATGAGACATGGGATGAGACAAGATGAGATGAGACAAGATGAGACGAGATGAGATGAGATGAGACATGAGATGAGATGAGACAAGATGATATAAGATGAGACATGAGATGAGACAAGATGAGATGAGATGAGATGAGATGAGACGAGATGAGATTAGACAAGATGAAATGAGACTAGATGAGATGAGATTAGACAAGATGAGATGAGATTAGACAAGATGAGATGAGACAAGATGAGATGAGATGAGACAAGGTGAGACTAGATGAGACAAGATGAGATGAGATAAGATGAGACAAGCTGAGACAAGATGAGACAAGATGAGACGAGATGAGATGAAATGAGACGCTACGATGACTCTGCAACTATTTCAGGAGAAATTGTTGTTGGGTTACCTGGTGCTGGTTAATGGGGGTGATCTGGTATTGGTTAGTAGAAGATCCCTGGTACTGGTAAGTGAGGGTATCAGGGACTTGTAAGTGGGGAGCACCTGGTACTGGTTAGCGTGGGTTACCTGGTACTGTTCAGTCTGGGGTACCAGGTACTGTTTAGTATGAATTAATTGGTACTGGTTGGTGGGGATTACCTAGTACTAGTTATTTGGGGGACCCTGGTACTGGTAAGTGAGGGTTACCAGGGACAGGTAAGTGGGTAGCACCTGGAACTGGTTAGTATGGATTACCTGGTACTGGTTGGTAGGAGATAACTGGTAGTAATTAGCGTAGATAACCTGGTACTGGTTAATGTGGGAGTACCTGGTACTGGTTAGTAGAATACACAAGGTACTGGGTAATGTGAGACACCTGGTACTGATTAGTGTGGTGTATCTAGGGTATCAGGTACTGTTTAGTCTGGGGTACCCGGTATTGGTTAATGGGCGGGTATCTGGTATTCGTTAGTAGAATGCACAAGGTACTATAACAACAATGTACCACAAGGTTCAGTCTTAGGACCCACCCGCTTCACACTCTAAGTATAAGATACATAGAAAGGTTTAAGTTTAAGTCGCAGGTTCAACTCCCGGTACCATCAACATCAACACGTGGGTGGAACATGTTGACACCATCCAGGAATGCATACACCATCACAGACATCTACACCTCCAGATGCAGGAAGAGGGCCACCTGCATCATGAAGGACACCACTCACCCAGCACATACACTTTTAGCCCCACTCCCCTCAGGGAGGAGGTTGAGGAGCATTAAGTGTAGAACCACTAGACTGAGGAACAGCTTCTACCCTGAGGCTGTTAGACTCATGAATCTCTAACTAGAATAATCACTGTGAAAAAAATCACATCAAGTTGCTGCTGATCTGTTTCATGTTGCTGCTGATCTGTGTCATGTTGCTGCTGTTCTCTCTTTTAAGCTCCATGTGGAAAACTTGGTAAGAAAACTGAAAGTTAAACTGGGCTTCTTTTCCAGAAACAGATCCTGTCTAACTCTGAATGTTAGGAAACTCCTTGTATCTGTGACTTTCCTTCCCTCCACTGATTACAGTGACATTATTTACATGAACGCTCCTACAAGAACCCTGCAGATGTTGGATGCTGCAGATGTTGGATGCTGTCTATCAAGATTAATAACTGGCTGTAACTACCGTACCCACCACTGCACCCTGTATTCGCAGGTTAACTGGTCACCATTAACTTCACACAGACTCTCCCACTGGTACATTTTCATCTTTAAATCATTTCTTGGTCTGTGGCCTTCATACATCTCCTCCTACATGAGTGCAGCTACAACGTGCGCTCTCAGGACATTATTACCTGCAATTTAACTAGCTAGTGTGGTTATCTAGTACTGGTTAGTCTGGGTTACCTGGTACTGCTGGTAGTTGTAGAAGTTCCCGTAGTAGGTGGGGTAGAGTGATGGCTGGTAGAAGTTGTAATAAGAGTTTTCCAGCAGCAGGTCAGACGCTCCGTCAGCATTTGGCCTGGCAGCAGCTGATTGGCTGGGGGAGGATGAAGAGCGACTTCCTGAAGAAGAAGAAGGACCAAAGTCAGAGGAGGAAGTCTGTATGATGGAACCAGGAGAGGCTTTCAAATCAAACAATGATTTTAGAAAATAAAACTTTATTTATAAAGTCCTGTCCTGGTCCAGTCAGATCTCAGATCCTCATGTGAGACGCCTCACTGTGGGGTTTGGTTTTACTTTAGTAGAACCTAATCTACCAAACTTGAGGAACATCTTTGGTAAGAAGGTCTGCCTGTGAATATGTGCAGGATGTTCAGGGTATAACGGCCAAACCCAGGTTAAACTAGCTAAAATGTACACTAATACAGATTCAATTATTAACTGAGACTAATCCAGATTTAATTAATGAAAACTGAGACCAACCCAGGTTAAATGAGTCAAAACTAAGACTAACCAAAGTTGAATTTGTCAAAATGTAGACTAATTCAGGTTTAATTAATAAAAATTGAGACTAATCCAGGTTTAATTAGCCAAAATGTAGACTAATTCAGGTTTAATTATTAATAACTGAGACTAATCCATGTTTAATTAATAAAAACGGAGACTAACCCAGGTAAAATGAGTAAAAACTTAAACTAACCTAAGTTATATTAGTCATAATGTAGACTATTCCACATTTAATTAATAAAAACGGAGACTAACCCAGGTAAAATGAGTAAAAACTTAAACTAACCTAAGTTATATTAGGCATAATGTAGACTATTCCACATTTAATTAATAAAAACTGAGAATAACCCAGGTTAAATGAGTAAAAACTATAACTAACCTAGCTTAAATTACTCAAAATGTAGAGTATTCCAGGTTTAATTAGTCAAAATGTAGACTAATTAAGGTTTAATGAATAAAAACTAAGACTAATTCAGTTTTAATTAATAAAAACTGAGACTAACCCAGGTTAAATGAGTAAAAACTAAAACTAACCTAAATTAAATTAGTCAAAATGTAGACTATTCCACGTTTAATTAATAAAAATGTAGACTAATTAAGGTTTAATGAATAAAAACTAAGACTAATATAGGTTTAATTAATAAAAGCTGAGACTAACCCATGTTAAATGAGTAAAAACTAAAACTAACCTAAATTAAATTAGTCAAAATGAAGACTATTTTGGGTTTAATTGGTCAAAATGTAGACTAATTCAGGTTTAATTAATAAAAACTAAGACAATCCAGTTTCAATTAATAAAAACTGAGACTAACCCAGGTTAAGTGAGTATAAACTAAAACTAACCTAGGTTAAATTTGTCAAAATGTAGACTAATTC